TATACTTCCTTTATTGCAAATTATGTTTAATGTATAATTTCTTATATCCTGCTTTGTTAATAGCTTGCTAGACCCTACAGAAGCCTCCTGTATATAAGTTAAATTTACAGAGAAGAAGATACAAACCTTTAAAGTAAATTCAGTCTGATTGAAAATGAAACCATTTTTTTTTTCTTGCAGACTGTCCCAGTCACAGACAGGGGAAGTGTGGCTAGGGCTGTATAAACAGAAACAAAGTGATTTAACTCCTAAAAGGTAGATAATTAAGCAGTGAGACTGCAGGCGCATGTTCTATACACCAAAACTGCTTCATTAAGCTAAAGTTGTTTTGGTGACTGTAGTGCCCCCTTAAATTAAATGAAACTCGTTACAAGTTTTTCAAGGTTTTCAAAAGACCCAATCATGAGGATGTTTGTCTGTAGCATGAGTTAAAGGGACATTTCAGACTCTTAAATCACTTTAGCTTCCTGAAAAGCTATATGTGTGAAGAGTGTGTCCTTTTTTATTTCAGTTTGCAAAAACTGCAGAAATTTACACTTTTATAAATTAACCTGGTTACACCCCCTTGGCTTTCAAGCAGACAGCAGGTAATATTACCTCCTAGTTTGGTTAGCTTAGTGGAGCTAAACACGTGAGGTAGAAATTCCTCAGAGCACATGCCTTGCAAAGACTTCTCATTGAGCTGCATTAGGAAGTCTGTGATTAGACACCCACAGAAAGCCTGGGCGAGATTAGAAGGGGAGGGCTTGCATAGGCAGCAGATAAAAGAACTACAGTACTCCCAATAAAAAAAATCCATAATTAAATGCATGCAAGTTTTAATTTGGGGTATATCTTCTAAACAGTGAGTTTTATTTATTTTATATTTGGGCAGTGGAGTGTCCCTTTAATATAACATTCATAGCAGATAGCTATACTAAGTCACACGGAGGTGCAGGAAAGAGACAAAGAGCATTGACACCTATTTTTTGGTCTGTCTGTTCTAGTTCCCAATACGAGCACTAATGTTAACATTGTACATAGGTTAGAGGCACCTTTGGCAGCACTGCACGGGTCTGGTTACAGAAAAGAAGGATGATAACCAAGGAAAGACTAAAACAGAGAAGAGATGCAGGACAAGAACTGTTTAATCAGATATTGTTCAAGACCCTGATTCGTTATCTTTGTCTGGCCATCAGACTGGGTATAACACACCTGTGAAAACTGGAGGTAAATCCCTAAAATGGGAAAACAAGGCTCTCCAAAACAGAGACAGAATGTACTATGGTTAGAAATAATATACTTGTAAAGTATAAACCACGCAAACATTATGACAGCCTTTTTCCCTTCAGACTTCGGCAACTCTACAGTAAAATCCATGGATATTGGAGACCATGGAATGCACTTTATCGGATGTAGAGACCTTGAGGTTGCTGATGGGAACTCTTGACGATTGTAAAGACTTCTACAAATGATAGGCAAGAGCAGGGCACCAAAAAGTATAGAACCGAATCTAAACAGAATGTTTCATCTCTAGAAAAGAATTTAACTTAAAAAAATATTTCCTGCAACAAGGGACTAGGAACAACACTTATTGTTAAAAACCCAATGGAAATCACTCATGTGCTTCCACTATCATCTGCACCACTAAGAAACAGAGTAAAAATATAATTTCGTTCATGGGAATGATGGGTTCAGGTTGCACGTATGGATAGAAAATTTGTTGAACAAGTCATTTCCCATTACTGGAAAATTGGACATATGGCAAGACATAGTGGAATCCAGCATAGTTTAAAGACCAGAGAGTGTTTCTGACTCTTAACAGATTTAACATACAAGATCATCTGTTAGTCCCTTGTAATAGGTAACCTTAGCATTTCTTTATCACCAAAGGCTGATCACAGCATGTGTCAATGGGTTCTGCAGCATCGTTTACAAGGGGGCAATTGGAGAATGCTCTCTCTTTTATATAAATGGTGCATATACAGATCATTGCTTAGCCCCTCTCCCCAAAACATTTCCTCCAAGTAGCCGTGCATGGTTATATTTTAGGACAAATATTGCACCTACAATAATAATAATCCTAAATGAACCAACAAAAACCTGTTAACTCAGATAACGCAGCAATAAACCTAAGAATCCCTGCACAGATGATGATCATTCCAAGATGGTTTCAGTTTCCCTAATGGCAGCATATAAAATATTTGTTATAGAAAAGTTCTCAGGCTTCTTGAATTTAGTATAAAGATTTTTTTTATTTGTATTTTTTAGAAACCTCTCTGTATGTTTTTGACAGATTTACTATTACATGGTAAAATGACATGTCCCGTAAGACATAACAGAATAGCCCAGAACATTTGTCTGGGCATAACATAGCCCAAACAGCATCACCCATTACTCAGAGTATATTGTAAGGATATCTTAAAGTTATATATAAATGTATGAATGTAATAGAAGAAATAAAAAAGAAAACAGCAGAGTCCAAACTGAATTTTTGTATGGTTTTTATTTGATTGGTGAACAGAGAGGACGCATACAATGACAGGGTGCTGTGGGACCACACAATAAATCTGGTAATCAGCTGTTACAATAAATCACACTTTATCATGAGAATGTTTCCTACACAATGAATGCATTAAGAATGGTTTCAGCACTGCCTGCTGGGGCTTTTTGTTTAACATTTTGCTAATGGCAATAATAGACCAGGTAACGGCAATTTATGTCTGAGACAAATTAGTTAATTGCTCTAAAACTGTGCCAAGGCTGCAAATATTGAGTGTATAATTCAGTGTTTAAGATATGAGCTTATGGATGAACAAAGGAGCTGTTTAAATGTTTCTGTTTGTTTTAAATGAAATGAATTGACCAATTTCCATTACATGCTGCTTGGTTTAATACCCTGACTTCCAGAGCAGCCACTAACAGGAGCCTCTATAAAGGAGATACACGTACGGGCACTACAAGGAGCCTCTATAAAGGAAATACACATACGGACACAACAAGGAGCCTCTGTAAAGGAGATACACATACGGATACTAAAAGGAGCCTCTATAAAGGAGATACACGTACGGACACTACAAGGAGCCTCTATAAAGGAGATACACGTACGGACACTACAAGGAGTCTCTATAAAGGAGATACACGTACGGACACTACAAGGAAGTTCTATAAAGGAGATACACGTACGGACATTACAAGGAGCCTCTATAAAGGAGATACACGTTTGGACACTACAAGGAGCCACTATAAAGGAGATACACGTACGGACACTACAAGGAACTTCTATAAAGGAGATACACGTACGGACATTACAAGGAGCCTCTGTAAAGGAGATACACATACGGATACTAAAAGGAGCCTCTATAAAGGAGAAACACGTACGGACACTACAAGGAGCCTCTATAAAGGAGATACACGTACGTACAATACAAGGAGCCTTTATAAAGGAGAAACACGTACGGACACTACAACGAGTCTCTATAAAGGAGATACACGTACGTACACTACAATGAGCCTCTATAAAGGAGATACATGTACGTATACTACAAGGAGCCTCTATAAAGGAGATACACGTACGGACACTACAAGGCACCTCTATAAAAGAGATACACGTACGGACACTACAAGGAGCCTCTATAAAGGAGAAACACGTAAGTACACTACAAGGAGCCTCTATAAAGGAGATACACGTACGTACACTACAAGGAGCCTCTATAAAGGAGATACACGTACGTACACTACAAGGAGCCTCTATAAAGGAGATACACGTACGTACACTACAAGGAGCCTCTATAAAGGAGATACACGTACGGACACTACAAGGCACCTCTATAAAAGAGATACACGTACGGACACTACAAGGAGCCTCTATAAAGGAGAAACACGTAAGTACACTACAAGGAGCCTCTATAAAGGAGATACACGTACGTACACTACAAGGAGCCTCTATAAAGGAGATACACGTACGTACACTACAAGGAGCCTCTATAAAGGAGATACACGTACGGACACTACAAGGCACCTCTATAAAAGAGATACACGTACGGAGACTACAAGGTGCCTCTATAAAGGAGATACACGTACGGACACTACAAGGAGCCTCTATAAAGGAGATACACGTACAGACACTACAAGAAGCCTCTATAAAGGAGATATACGTACTGACACTAGAAGGAGCCTCTATAAAGGAGATACACGTACGGACACTACAAGGAGCCTATATAAAGGAGATACACATACGGACACTACAAGGAGCCTTTATGAAGGAGATACACGTACGGACACTACAAGGAGCCTCTATAAAGGAGATACACGTCCAGACACTACAAAGAGTCAGTGTGTCAGTGTCCCCTCGTGTCTCCATATTCCCCTTGTCTCCCAGTGTCGCCTAGTGTCTGGGTCCCCATATCTCCCAGTGTCCCCTAGTGTCTGTGTCCCCATGTCTCCCAGTGCCCCATGTCACACTTGAGACACTTGGGGAAAATGGAACACATGGGGACACTTGTGGATACAGATGTAGGGACACTGGGAGACATTTGGGGACATTGAGACATTTGAGGACACAGAGACACGGGGACACAGACATATGGGGACACTAGGAGACATGGGGACACAGAGACATGGGGACCCTGAGAGACATGGGGATGCAGACAATGGGAGACTAGGGGACGTTAGGAGACATGGGGACACAGAGACATGGGAAGACTGGGAGACATGGGGACACTGAGATTTGGGGACAATGGGAGACATGGGGATACAGAGACACTAGAGACATGGGCACACAGACACTGGGAGACTACGGGACACGGTGTCCCCATGTCTCCCAGCATCCCCAAGTCTCACAGTGTCCCCATGTCTCTCAGTTCCCCTTCGTGGACATGGGGACACTAAGACATTTGGGGACATTGGGAGACATGGGGATACAGAGACACTAGGGACACAGAGACATGGAGACAGAGAAACTGGGAGACTAGAGGGCACTGGAAGTCATGGGGACCCAGAACACTAACACATTTGGGGACACAGACAGTGAGAGAAATGGGGACACTGGGAGACATGGGGACACTGACTGGGAGACATGGGGACACTGAGATACTAGGGGACACTTCAAGCACCCCCAAGTCTCCCAGCATCCCCAAGTCTCCCAGTGTCCCCATGCCTCAGTGTCCCCAAGTCTCCCAGTGTCCCTCAATGTCTCCCAGTGTCCCCTAGTGTCTCAGTGTCCCCTAGTGTCTCAGTGTCTACCAGTGTACCCTAATGTCTCTGTGTCACTATGTCTCCCTGCAGCCTTTCCCCATCCCTCACTTACCTAAACTGTGGGCTGTCTCTGCAGGCTGGGAGCTGCTGTCTGAACTCTGTCCTGTGTAGCTGCACGCCTGCTGATCAGTGAGTAGAGAGAGGCAGGCATATGCTGTAACTTCCTATCCCTGCCTCTCTCCACATACAGTGTCCCCTACTGGCCAGTGCTGGTATTGCAGAGTAATCTCAGTTTATACTGAGAACAATACCTGCATTTGTATTGCCAATATTACTGAAATACCGGCACGGCCAGATAGCCTCAAATACTGGCAATGCCGGTAAAATACTGGCCAGGTGGCAACCCTAACGGCAGTGGGTAAAAAAATAATAATTATTATTTTCTTTTTCTTTTTTTTTAAATCAATGTACCTATTCCATGGGTATGGGCCTGGAGCTGCAGCTCCATCAGCCCCTATGTTAATCCAGCCCTGCATACAGCCACTAACATAAACCACTTTAATGCAAACAGTGATAGACATACTGCCACTAAATACATCACTGTAATGGAGGTAGAATGACATGCAATAACAGCATTAATTAATGTAATGGAAACACTTATAGTCACCAATATAAACCACTGTAATGGAAACAGACGTATGCACACATCGACTAGCATAAACCACTGCAATGGAGACAGATGGACGTAACTGTAATGCAAACAGCTGTGACTAACATGAACCATAAGACTTTCCGGCCTTCAGTTCTGCTGTCCATTGACACAAAATGGTGTTCTACAAGGTATGGTGATTAGCATCTCAGCAGCCATTGAACTCTAATTGGCTGATCTGAGTACTTACTCAGAGTACGTTGTTTATTAGCAACTGACTGACAAACAGGACTTTCTCCCATAAATTCCATAAGACCCTTTTTATTATAAATAGGCCTATTATAAATAATCTCTGCCAGATTTCTCTCTTAGAATTGCTCCATGTCACATTTAAAACAAAACATCACCCTCTTGTGAGACACCTGGGAAACAAATGTTCCTCTACTCTAAGCTCATTCTGCAAAATTGGCGCTTGGAAACCCATGAATGGCTAGAGGGGATCTGAGATACTCATCTCACAGGAAGTCTTGCAGGATTAATGAAGGGCCAGAGAGTATTGACAATCACCAGCTGGAAAATCTGCTTTTGAAACAAACCTTCTGAAAGAATAATTTACTGCACCAGCTACTATCCTTAAGTCTATTTCTCTCCTCACTTCCCTTTGATACCCGTTCTAGTTTCAGACAAGATTGCTGTGCTTTACCTTTATTTAAATTTATGGCATATATGCATCTCTTCTTCCTACTTACCTTCCTCAGATTGCGCTACAGTAGAGCTAACTCACTCCTTTGCTTAAAAATTGCCTATTCCTTGTTGCAATTACAATTTGTACTGTGTGATATTAGTGATCTGGCAGTAGTGATATTATTGATTATCAAGACAACGTTTCTCCTGCCATGTGCTATAGACTGCAGAAGGGATCTGGCCATGACCATTAAGACGTTCTTAATCTATACAGAATCTCTATGCAGTGCTTTTATAGCAAACTCCCCGTGTTCAATGTCACATGAAGTTGTAAATACTCACTGTACACTTGCTGCTTCCCTCTACGTCCTTGTGCAGCCATGCTTCCCATTCGGCCTGATCCACAAAATCCCAATTTGGATAATCAACCAGAGCAGCATGGGCTATCACACTATTGTCCTCATTGCTGATGGTCACAGCCAGGTTAGCCTTTTCTCTGAATGAAGTTTAGGGAGACAATAATTAGTTTGCATAAGAAATAAACATAGGACAAATTTACTGGATATTATTGTATATAGCAATCCTGAAAATGTAGATATTTTCTAACTCTTCAAATGGGCTCAATGAGAAGTCTTTGCAAGGCAGGTGATCTGAACAATTGACTACTTATTGAGTTTAGCTCCACTAAGCTAAACAACCAGGAAGTAAAAGGAATGGTTGCCTGATTGACAGCCAAGGGGGCGTAACAGGGTTAATTTATAAAAGTGTTAAAAAAATGTTTAAATCTGCACTTTTTGTAAAATTAAAAAAGAGGGCAACCTCGTCACACAAAAAAGCACTTCAGCAAGATGAAGTATTCCAGAGTTCTGGAGTGTCCCTTTAAGGTAAATTTGGTGGTGTTGGCAACTATTAGTAACAATTGGCAGGTAGACGTCTGTAAAATCACTCTTGTTTAAGAACTCTACACCAGCACATACTTACAGCAAGTATATAACATTTACTTTTCCAAACAGTCTGTCAGAGGATTCTGTTTGAAGTGTGATGATGTTATGAACATCCGCAGATTCTGTTCTCCTGATTGTCACAACTTCGGTTTTTCCATTTGCTGAAGTTAATATTGTCATGGTGAAGACAAAATGTACTGTAATAAACAACGAACACAGAAACATTGTTTTAAAGAACCAAATGAAGAGATAGAATAAGATTTTACTATGGTTTAATGCATGTTTTAAATTAAATACATAAATGAATAAACTGGTGGACAGAAAGTCAAATAAACAAAAATGAGAAACAAAAATGAGAATACAAATTAGCAGGCTGATTTACTATGCCCAACCGTGATATATTTAGTGTCACTGCAAAGTTATGCCAAATAAAGGGTGGGCCAAAGTTTACAGTAGGATTTGAGGAGTCAATAACTTTTTTTTATTAATGAACCAATTTCAATTATATTACATACAATGAATGGAGATTTGTTTGACTATGTACTGACGATGACATCTCTTAAATGAGCTCCATTTGCCGCCTCGCAAAGTCGGGCTCTTTCGATTGCATTGTTCATAACATTGGTTAATGTTTGAGGCCCTAGCGCTCAAATTTTGTCAGTTTCGAAGAAGTAGTGCCCGACAACTTCCTGTGAGGTCACCCCGCACAAGACGGTGTATTTGGCGCTGATTAATTATCGTGAATTTTCTGTAACCCTGAAACTACAATTTTGTTTATTGAAAAAGCCATTAAAATAAAAATTTCCTTTGTCAAACTTGATGACTTAAAGGACCACTATAGTGCCAGGAAAACATACTTGTTTTCCTGGCACTATAGTGTCCTGAGGGTTCCCCACCCTCAGGGACCCCCTCCCACCGGGCTGGATGGAGAGGAAGGGGATAAACTTACCTCTTTCTCCAGCGCTGGGCAGGGAGCTCTCCTCATCCTCTTCGGCTGAATGCGCATGCGCGGCAGGAGCTGTGCGTGCATTCAGCCAGTCCATAGTAAAGCATTCACAATTCTCTGAAACTGCTATGTTTATAATAAAAAGGGTTAACCCTAGAGCGACCTGGCACCCAGACCACTTCATTAAGCTGAAGTGGTCTGGGTGCCTATAGTGGTCCTTTAATAAATAAATGTATTGTTTTCTCTGGCTAATTCTTAGATGCAAATAGCATTGCGCGTTAAAGGTGGTCTCTGAGTTTCTGTCCCTGCACCAACTGTATTTTATACAAAGACATCTTTAAATCTTTTGTTAAATTTTGCCTTAAGGATCGGGACAACCCTAATTCCTTAAAATGTCTTCTTGTTGAAGTTTGTGGTTCTTCTTCGATAATAGCTCTAACTTGTTTATTGTTTTCTATCTAGCGAGCTGAACGTGGTCTGTCAATATGTGGAAGGTTCATTAAAACACTTGTTTCCTCAAAACATTGCATTAGTTTCCGAATCATAGTTACTGAGGGTCCATTTCTTACATTGAAGTTGCGGCAGTGAGCTCATGCCATTTTGAAAATAAAATTCCACTATTTCTACTCGTTGTTCCTTTGTGAAAGACCCATGATGAATCTCCCAAGACACAGTTATAATATGTACCTGCAAAAAAATGTTTTAACTACTAACGAATACGTTATTTACCTGTCAAATCCTACTCTGAATTTTGGACAACCTGTAGAAGCAATAATGTCAATATAGGGGTTATCACAAAAAAAATATTTTTACCCCAAACTAAATTGCAAGTAAATGTTTCATATGGCTTGGAGATGTGACTCTTACCAGAGTACAGAATACTATATTTGGTGGTCCTTTCCCAAAATAACCCCATATTGGTCACACGTTTTACTGCACATAAACAAAATAACTGTTCCTTAATTAATCTCCCAGCATGCAGGAGAACTGCTAAACCAGTCCCAATAAATGTACTGAATTATTAGTAGCCTAGACTCTAACAGGGTCATTTAGTAAACTCTGACATTTTGGAGATTAATTTTGAATGGCAAAACTGAAGTCACAGTGTGGCAAACTTTTGCATCAGTTTTGCAATTTTTAATTATTTAACAAACATTCTGAGTTTAGTGAAGACTAACATAATAGAGTACAGAAAATCCATCAAATTGATGAATTCATCCTTTCTCAAGATGTCCTCCTGAGACCCAGCCCATTAACTTGTGTCCTCTGTACTGGACATTTCGTTCACATGCATCGCTATTTATTCTTTTGAGCTACTCTATCAATCCCTGCTGTATTGTAAAGGGGACAGCCTGGGCTTTCCATTGATATGTCATGTGACAGGCTGGGATGCTGGGAACTTCCTCTTCCTTTTCATCAAAAATGGATGGCACATTGGAAGACAATGTTTCCCTCGGTTCCCAGGACAATATAATGATACCTATCACTCCATATGGAAAGTTTAACCTCTCGTAAAACCGATACTTTTTATTTTGCTCCCCTTACTTATTCTACATTACCCACTCTTTATTTCCAGTAACATGACTCTCTGAAGCATAAGCACTCCTGCCTGTTTTAATGAGGAAGGAATTCTCTCTCTATTTATTGAAGGTTTATTCACTAAAATTAGAATTATCAGTAATTCAAAATGAATTTCAAACTTAAGACCAATACAGTCAAACTGGAAAAGTTCTCCAAGTCTACTTTAGTCATGCTTTCAGTTTAGCTACTTTGGTTTTAACTACCCTGACTAAGCGCTGAGTTATGCTCAGAAGTCAGCTTGTTTGCCATGATAGTAAATATCACAAATTGTCTTCTTGACTTATGAATGTAAATCAAGTTAGCAACTATTGCAGTTTCACCCTATCAGTTAATTAAGCTGCAATTTCACTTAACTCCTTCACGTCTCAGAAATTTTAAAAATAATTAGAACTTGGAAGTAAAGACAATCACACAAAATAAGGAGAAAAGGGAAAATTTCTTGTACTGATTGTTGTTTTGAAACATCAAAGAAATCTGATACACATAAAACATTTTTTATTTAACATGTTAGTTGTTAGTAGACTGTTTGAGTAAATATAACATTAGAGATTAGATGGTATGTCTAGTTTTGCCAATCAATTTGCACCGAAGCTCAAGAACAATTTGCACAAAATGAAAGTACCACAATTCAGTATGGAAAGAGAACAAAATCACTAAATCAGTACCATTCTCATAGTTATTTGTGAATTTGCACCTGTTTTTGGAAATGCAAATTCCACTGTATGCAGCACAATGTGTAAAATATGTCTGTGCACTGCTGTAATATCACATCTGGTCAATACATTTTCTTTTGTGTATGCCAGGAGTGGGGAACTACATCTCCCAGAATCCTCTTACAGCAATATCGCTGGCATATTGATATACAGAGATACACAGACAGAACACACAGATAGACAGAGACATATTAATAGACAGATAGACACACACACAGATAGAAGACACAAACAGACAGATACACACAGACAGAGACATATTGATAGACAGATAAATAGATAGGTAGATAGATAGACAGACAAAGACATAGTAGACAGAGACATGTTGATAGACAGACATATAGACAGACTGAGACATATAGACAGAGACATATTGACAGACAGACAGACACACATTCACAGATAGAAGACACACACAGAGACAGATACACACACAGATAGAAGACAGACACACAGATAGAAGACACACACAGAGACAGAAGAGACACACACAGATAGAAGACACACACAGATAGACAGAGACACACACAGACAGTAGAGACACACACAGACAGTAGAGACACACACAGATAGAAGACACACACACACAGATAGACAGAAACACACACAGATAGAAGACACACACAGATAGAAGACACACACAGACAGACACACACACAGATAGAAGACACACACACAGATAGACAGACACACACACAGATAGACAGACACACACACAGATAGACAGACACACACAGATAGACAGAGACACACACAGATAGAAGACACACACACAGATAGACAGAGACACTCAAAGATAAACAGAGACACAGACAGATAGAAGAGACACACAGATAGAAGAGACACACAGATAGACAGACACACACAGATAGACAGAGACACACACAGATAGACAGACACACACAGATAGACAGACACACACACAGATAGACAGACACACACAGATAGACAGACACACACAGATAGACAGAGACACACACAGATAGAAGACACACACACAGATAGACAGAGACACTCAAAGATAAACAGAGACACAGACAGATAGAAGAGACACACAGATAGAAGAGACACACAGATAGACAGACACACACAGATAGACAGAGACACACACAGATAGACAGACACACACAGATAGACAGAGACACACACAGATAGACAGACACACACAGATAGACAGACACACACAGATAGACAGAGACACACACAGATAGATAGACAGACAGATGTACATTTGATGTTTTAATAATAGTTGACAATAAATCATTAGTTGTGAGTAGTGAGTTGCTGACCTGTACGCGGTGCTATTGGTCTCTATGGAGATCGCGGCTCGATGTGCGGCTCTCACGCTCTCTGCCAGACGCTGTACTTGGTCGCTATAGCAACCCCGTGCGTGACGTCACCAGTGGGCGGCCCGTCCTTTAGTAAAGCGAGCTCGTGCGTGCGTGGTGACGTGTAAACGTAGCGCTGGGCGGGGTTTACGTGACGTTTTTCCGTGTTGACTGATTCGGGCCGCCGTACCGGAGAGTAAGCGCTAAACATGGCGTCCACGGCAGCGGGCAAGCAGCGGATCCCCAAAGTGGCCAAGGTAGAGTGAGAGGCACCCGGCCAGGCGGGGGGTGTAACACAGGCCCTCCCAGTGCCATGTATGGGGTAACACGGACTGATCCCAGAGAGAGACCGAGACCCTGTCTGACATGTGGCTCTCACTGGGTACACTATGCCTCGAGTGGGGAACTACATCTCCCAGAATCCTCTTACAGCAATATCGCTGGCAAAGCATCATGGGGCATGTAGTCCACAACATCTGGAGTGCTGGTGGTTGCCCACCCCTGGTTTATAGGCTATGGTATGGCTGCCAAATGTTGGCTCTCAGTCAGTCAGTGATGGAGAGCAGCTGTCACCCAGCCCTGTATACAATGTATACAATGCTCTGTTGGCTCTGAGCCAGCGCTGCTGAGAGCTCACTCATATTTCTGTTGTCTTTTTAAGCGGACCTATCGCTGTCTGGGGGCTTTGCGTGACCCTGATAAAGCCACTGGGGGTCTGGCGGTTGGAGGGGACAGGGAAAGGTGAGTTTTGTTTTTTTTTACTTTCTTGGACCTGGCCCTCGTCTTCCTGTCACTCTCCAGTTACCAGACACGGACCTCACGAGAGTAAAGTAGTGAAGTCTATCGGGGTTTGCCCTAGACAACGGGATCCGCCCTAGAAAGAGCTTATTTAACTGCAGCCCTCACTAGTGATGGTTGGAGTAAATTATACTGCTTGATGGTGGTAGCTTCACCTAGAGTCAGGTGTAGGAAAAATACTGAGACAAAGTTGTCCCTAAATTAAGTGGTATCTGGAGTCCCCTGGCATCCTCTTTCCTACCATTGTTAAAGGGACACTATAGTCACCAGAACTACAGCTTGTTGTATTTGTTCTGGTGAGTATAATCAGGCCCTGCAGGCATTTTGTAGTAAACACTATCTTTCAGAGAAAAGGAAATGTGTACCTTACAGTCTATGGATACCTCCACTGGCACAGCTCAAGGCTTCCTGGGGCAGTGCTGCACGGTATTCAGCACTGACGTACACCGAACATTCCTCGTAGATGCATTGATTTATTGTTTCTCTATGGTGAGGTGATGATAGGCCAGGGCTGTGTTTGGCTTGTGTGTAATCGTTTCAGCCAATCAAATGCTTTCCTTTGGGAAAACTAAGTTCTTAAACCTCACATATGCACTATATATAATTTTTTTATTTTTTAAAAAATCCTTTATTTTATTTGTGCATAGAGTGAACAATCAAATTTGCACTGCCACGACAGCTGGTGCAAACAATATGCATATGTACAATAACATGTATGGCAGCGAAAAACATTGCACATGTTTATATATAAACAAACAGGACAAGGGTATCAACATGAGTTATAGTGTGCTTCCAGGAAAAACTGCTACATGTCTAAAATAAGTAAACATCTCAAGAACTAGACTAAATTGTAGCTTTAGAACAGAAAGAGATTACTTGAACTCTGCTTATCATTGTACCAATGTGATGAGCAGAGTTCAAGTAATGTTACATGCTAAGTGTTAAACCAGCTTGTACTAGTAGTCATGCTTATAGACTGAGTAAGTAGGTGAATCTCTGCTTTCCCTCCTTGTGTAGGAGGTAGTTGGGCAATAGAGCGCTGTTCCAGTCCCTCCCAGAATTGGGTGAGTATTGTGTCCAGCTGCGTGAGTAGTGGCTGTTGAGGTATAGGCCCTGGTGAGTGATTTGTGTCCGTTATTTTGTGGGGCCTGGTGTAGTCGGAGCCCACAATGCGGTAGGCAGTAGGAGCCAGTGATAGCATACACGCCGGGTCGGTGGGGACCAGGATAACCCCTGCTGGTCCATAGAGGGGGGGGGGGGGATCAGCCATGAGTTGTGGTGGCAGGGGAGCGGCAGTCTCCCCCGGCTGGCTGGGCTGCAAGATTTGTTTGCTTGGAGCCGGCTCGGAAGTCCACATGTGTGGTATCTGCTTGGAGTGCAGAGAGTCCCCTTTGTTGATTAGGTCAGATTTTGCTGGTTCTGCGCCTTGTAATTTTAGTGCATTTAGCGTGAATATGCAGGAGCTGCTGCATCGTGCGTCTGCTCCTGTCCGCGGTCAGGCCCCGCCCCTATATAATTTTTCTAGCGCTCCACTTAAAGGTGTTTGGTTCTCACTTACACCGGTTTACATACTTTAGACTTTTATGTGGATAAGAAGATATTTCCACATTAGTGTTTAGAGCTGATTCTATTTATACACCTTTAGCACTTTTATTGGTATACACACTCCTCCGAATAAGAGGTGTATTTTGGCAAGAATTACCCCCAGCCAATGCTCTGTACTGCTTGGGCTTTTTAGGAAGCATTAGTCTGAGCAGTGATGATTGGTTGAGTGTCAGCTAACTGCTTTTGACCTACCACAGCGACTATTGCTGGTATGAATTGGAATGACTAAGAAAGCGTTGGCTCTGCCTTAACCATATCTCAAGTGGGGGCCAGGCTGTGGACAGCTAGGAAACCTTTTTCAAAAGATGTGTTGCTGAAAGGAGGGACAGCACTAGGGGACTTCAGGCACAGTAGCTAATTCAGCAAGATTAAATGGATATACCAGTTTATTCACCACAGTGAGAATTTGAGGTGAATTCAAAGTGAAGTACAAATTTAAGGTCAAAATAGCCTCTTGCATGCATTCTCTATAAACCTGCTTTCAAAATCTTGTGGAAAGTCACACAGACATTCTGTAGAGAAACTCGCTGGGTCTCATTACTTGAAAGAGAAAAGGTAATGCAGTACTTGCACAAGTTAATGCATTCTGAAAGTGGCTTCCAGTTTCTTTGAACAATGGATCTGATTCCAGACATAAATTCCCAATTGAATGCTCCATTGCATATTTGCCTGGAACATACCTTTTACAGGAAAAGATCACTTGTTGCACAGTAGGTGTTGGCAGGTAAAACACCTAAACTAGAGCAATGGTGACAGTGTAATAATGTTATCTAAAATGGGGGGGAAGCTAATCATAAACCAAGTAGCATTATGTCAAAATCCCATTACAGTGTATGTAGGGGGAAAATCTGTAAGAGCTACCAGTCCGTCGGTTAAAAGGACAGTTATGTTTCTAAGTTCACTAGTACACCATGCTGCTCACATTGCTTCCTGTACTGACATATCTTGTCCTATACATCTATTGGGATTTTTGCCTCCTATTGCAATTAAATTGGCATATACACATAGAACATCAATTGGGCTATAACAATCAGAGCTAGAATTGTATGTTACACTGCATTAATTCTCTGCGTAAATCTCATTTTGAACACGTTAAATTTACCTTGTGATAGATGTGTATAATTGTGGTGTTTTTAATTTTATTAAATTTTTTATCCCGAAGGTGAAAAATAAAGCCCCTGCAGAGGTTCAGATAACAGCTGAGCAGCTGTTGAGAGAAGCCAAGGAGCGAGAACTTGAGCTTCTACCACCTCCTCCTAAACAGAAGATCACAGATGAGGAAGAGCTTAATGATTACAAATTGAGGAAAAGAAAGGTATGTTTCATTGTTGCAACAGCCATGATTATTGCAAATGAATTGCCAGTTCATGAACATCTAACTCTGCCTGTAAGACTGTTGCACTAGCAGAATAATTGGCTAATTTATACAATGATGTATTTTTTTTCCTGGCATACGCAGTGTATACGGTCACCCCATGTCTAGCCTATTGGTGCAATTGGCATTGAGGAATCACATGGGTGCAAGATCACACACTGCAATCATTTGAACCAACGGAATACGATGCATGAACACATTTGCAATGCAGAACTTGCCTTGTGACAGAAACTGCACTCTCTAGCATAAAATATCAACGCATATGTTAGAAATTTGGTTAGCACTATGTACTTATTACTGAGTGCAGCCTCGTCATAATTTTCAAAATGATGTTAAATGTACTTTAAATATTTTTCATCTTTTTATACTTAACCAAAAATGTTGTGTAGTTTTAACTGAACGAATGTGGTTCTACAATATATTGGAGTAATAATGAATTTCCTTTTACTGACTTAAGTGATTCAATATTTTTAAGCAATTCGCTAAAATAACATTCCTGGCAATCTTCGAACAAATCAGTTCTGAGAATCAGAATCTTCTTAATTAACATCCTTTGCAGAATTAATTGGCTTCATTGTCAGGAATTTTATTCCAACAAATCCCTGAAAACAACTTTTTGCATATGTCTATTTAGTATTTAAACATTTTTAAGTGAGTATTTGTCTTTTTCACTTTATTTACTTATTTTATTTTTTTCAGACTTTTGAGGACAATATAAGAAAAAACAGAACTGTTATTAGCAACTGGATAAAGTATGCACAATGGGAAGAAAGTCTAAAGGAAGTTCAAAGGTATGTTTTTAATTTTTTCTTTATTCCCCATAAATAATCACACTTCTAAGTGGGTCAGAAGAAGGAAATGCATCCATTATATGTACTTTTTAATGAGGGAAAAATTAATTGTATATATTTGTAAACTGGTTACATACATAAATAAAAATTATTTATTTTTAAACCTTACTGTTTTTGGGGGGGGGGTTTTCCTCAGGGCCCGATCTATTTACGAGCGTGCTCTAGATGTGGACTACAGAAATGTCACACTATGGCTAAAGTACGCAGAGATGGAGATGAAGAATCGCCAGGTTAACCATGCACGTAACATTTGGGATCGTGCGATCACCACCCTACCCAGGGTCAATCAATTCTGGTACGTGTATTGCTCTATGAAATACACGTTCTAATAAATGTGGACACATCTATTTGTTTAGTTTCTGTTATAGGCCACGCTAAGCTTTACAACATACCTTTCATTCTACAACTGTTAATAATGTCCAAAGTTCAATTGATAACTTCTGCTAAAATGTTACATCTTCATTCTTAGGTGCAATGTTGAAATTGTCTTGTTGCATATTCCCTAAATGTAATGTGAGGATAAGCATTAGACTGGTGCTAAAAAATCTTTCTTCCAATTACCATTCCTGTTAATCAGTACTGAATTGAGTCTTCGATATGATCCACATGAATTTTATTCGGGCGAACTAGCTCAAACTAATTTTTGCACGAGTCTTTTAATCCTGTTCTAGTCAATGAGTGTCTGCAATGTGTGCTTCCCGGTTGATTTTAAACTGCTGAAAAACATTAGAAGTAAGCAATATTAATATTTCTTCTGTATCCCAGTTGATTCTTTTTGTGATGCGTCTATCTATCTTACAGCTGATTATTATAAATATATATCTATCAAAAACTAACAGCCACTCTCCAACTCTATATATTTTCTTTTAATGCCTTTTATTGTTAAAATACACAAACTCCCTCCAATGTTTGAAGGGCTTGCACCTAGGATTCTGCATGCTTTTGTCTTAAAAGGTACAAATACACCTACATGGAGGAGTTGCTGGGGAACTTGGCAGGCACAAGGCAGGTGTTCGAACGCTGGATGGAATGGCAGCCGGAAGAGCAAGCCTGGCATTCGTTCATCAACTTCGAACTTCGTTACAAAGAGGTGGACAGAGCACGGTCTATTTACGAAAGATATATCCTTTGAAAAGTTCGATCATTTGTTTCATGTGATAAACATAGTTATTCAATAACTCATCAGTTTCATAGCTCAAACTTTATAAATTATTGGAGCATCGGGATGATATAGGACAAACATTGCCTTCTGTTGAAGGCTAAATGCTTCTCACAATTCACTTTATTGCTGTAATTATACTAAATAAATGTTAGATTTAATAATAAACACCTAGCATCAATTTTCTTCGTTCTCCACAGATTGAGTGCATACGCTAGTCCGAGAGTAATACCACAGGGTGCTCCAGAAAAGGAAGCATTGCCACCAAAGTCCACTAGCTTCTCAAAAACCCAGGCACACCTGAGTAGTTTCCTCAATTAGGCAGCCTTTTATACAGAAATAGTGTACAGTAGTAGCGATGTTTCGGATTCATGATTGTTCAGGAACAGTGTAGAGCAGTAACAGACTGCCTATTTGAAGAAACTAACTGGTGTGCCTGTGTTTTTCCTCCTATTCTGTGAGATCTGAAATTAATATTAAAATATATCTTGTAAGTAAAGTGTAACACAAGCCCCAGATGTTTGTTTATAGCTACCAAAATTCTAATCTTCTGCATTTCTATTGCATTCAAGGAATTTTAAGAATTTTAGTCAATCAACATCTGGGGGAGGCAGACTTTGAGAACTGAAATGTAAGCAGTGCTTTGTGGTCACACCAAGGGTCTCTGGGTGCTGAACTTCAGTTGTTAACATTCTATAGTAGAAAGCAAACAGATCACAGAAACACAATGGCATCATGTTTAGTAGTATATTTTTGGAGCAAAAGGTCAGTTGAGGATTCCTGGAATTACGTTTGCATTTGTTATAGCCTTCAAGTATATTTAGGGGTGAAATGAAATACTTGTGCATATTAATAGAAGCTGCTCAGCTAAAATCTGTTTTGGTTTTTTTACATCAACAAATTTTTCATTCCACTTGTAAAGTTTTACAAAGTATATATAACCAGTGTTGTCTGAAAGTAATCTGAGTAGTTCTGTGGGCATTGGCGATACAATGTTTTCTCCTTAACATCACTGCACTTGTTTTTGTCCATCCTGATGTTAAGAACTGGATTAAGTATGCTCGCTTTGAAGAGAAGCATGGTTACATTGCCCACGCACGCAAAGTCTACGAGAGAGCTGTAGAGTTCTATGGAGAAGATCACATGGATGAAAATCTTTATGTTGCATTTGCCAAATTTGAAGAGAATCAAAAAGAAGTAAGATTGAATTATATTTCCTTTTTCATGTTTATTTTAAATTTCTTTATGGGTTTGCTGCACACACATTCTTACTAGTCTTTTAGTTGTTATACCACATGCATCCACAAGATGGAAGTATTGTGCAAAATGATTGCTATTTTTATTAAATTCTCTTAGATCTTGTTACAACTGTCTGTTTTGGTGTATATAAAATCTTGGTTTGCAATAGCTGCACACCTAGAATCAGTAGGTACTGTAATCCCTTCCCTTCTTTGACACAGAAGTTTTTTTGACTGTCAATCACAGACTTATCTATGAGCTGTATTCCTGTCTTTGCAAGGCAAGTAGGCTGGGTAGTTGCCTGCCTCTTAAAATTAACCACAAAAATAGCAATTTAAGGTCAGGCAATCGCCCAAAGTTCCTGCCTTGCAAAGACTGTAATACAGCTCAGAGTATTCATTGAAAAATCTGTACTAGGAAAGAAGGGGAGATTTTGCAGTACATGCTGATACTAGCTGTGCAGCTATTACAAAGCAAGATTTCATAAACCGCTAAAGAAAATATGCAAAAAAAAAATTATATGCACATTTTATGAGCATGTCTACTAAATTGGGGGGTGGGGGGTTATGGAATGATTTTTAACTTCAGAACTGTCAAAATTGCAGTAATTCAATGAGGTTTTACCGTGGAGCAAGGAGTTAATTGGTATTTCTAAACATAATTTATATTCTAAATACTGTCGTACTTTGTTCTAGAATTTTTGACGATCCCTTTGTTTAGCTAGGACTGTCATTTGTTCCACATGATGGAAATTTGCCATCATGATTGCGTTTTATTTCTAAAGCTGTCATTAAGGAGGATTACCAACTACTAGGGATCGACCGATATTGATTTTTTAGAGCCGATACCGATACCGATAATCTGCGAACTTTCAGGCCGATAGCCGATATCTTGCCGATATTCTGTACATGTACTATTTTGAATAAATAAACTAATTCGAAAGGTAAATGCACAAAATATACATGCCACATGTAGTGGATGAAGTGTGTTTAGACAGGGGAACTGTGTGTGTTTGTGTAGTGTGTGTGTGTGTGTAGTGGATGCAGAGTGTGTGTATATAATGCAGTGTTTATGTAGTGTGTGTGTATAATTCAGTGTGTTTTTGTGTGTGTATGTAATGCAGTGTGTGTGTGTTTGTGTAGTGTGTAGTGTGTGTTTGTGTAGTGTGTTTGTGTAGTGTGTATGTAATGCAGTGTTTGTGTAGTGTGTATGTAATGCAGTGTGTGTGTCTGTGTAGTGTGTATGTAATGCAGTGTGTGTACTGTTTGTGTAGTGTGTGTATGTAATGCAGTGTGTGTGCAGTGCAGTGTGTCTGTAATGCAGTATGTGTGCAGTGTGTGTTTGTGTAGTGTGTGTATGTAATGCAGTGTGTGTGTGCCTGTGTAGTGTGTGTGTATGTAATGCAGTGTGTGTGTGCCTGTGTAGTGTGTGTGTATGTAATGCAGTGTGTGTGTAGTGTGTGTTTGTGGTGTGTGTAGTGTCTGTCTGTGCAGTGTCTGTCTGTGTAGTGTGTGTATGTAATGCAGTGTGTGTGTATGTAATGCAGTATGTGTTTGTGTAGTGTGTGTGGTGATTTGTGTAATTTTTTATTTTAATATTTTTTTTAATATTTAAATGTTTTTTTTGTTTAGTCCCCCCCAGTGTGTGTTTTTGTAGTGTGTGTTTGTGTAGTGTGTATGTAATGCAGTATGTGTTTGTGTGTGTGTGTGTGTGTGTGTTTGTGTAGTGATGTAATTTGTGTAATTTATTTTAATATTTTTTTTAATATTTAAAAATGTTTTTATTTTTTGTTTAGTCCCCCCTCCCTGCTTCTTACCAGGGAGGGGGATATAGTATCCCCTGGTGGTCCAGTGGCTTGTTAAGTACAGTGGTGGCTCAGCAGCAGCAAGCGCTGACTTACCTTGCAAGCAGCTCCTACAGCTCCCTGTGTAAATCTCGCGGCTCTTAGTGCCGCGCGGAGCGTTGCCATGGTAACCCGTGGCAACGCTCTGCGGCCGCGGGTCTCGCGAGATTTACACAGAGAGCTGTAGGAGCTGCATGCAAGGTAAGTCAGCGCTTGCTGCTGGCCCCCACAGGACCGCCGGGCTTGTAATGGGCCCGGCGGTCCTGCTATATATTATCGGCAATATCGGTATCTGAATTGGCCGATACCGATATTGCCGAAAATACCAAATATCGGCCGATAATATCGGCCAGACCGATAATCGGTCGATCCCTACCAACTACTGTATTTGAATGTATGTTGCATACATTCTTCTCTGTATGCCCTTTGGTCAATGCTTCTAAATAAACACTTGTTCAGCTGTTTTGAGTATAAACTTTTTTTTTTTCCAGTCTGAACGAGTACGTGTCATCTACAAGTACGCATTGGACAGGATATCGAAGCAGCAAGCCCAGGAATTATTTAAAAACTACACCATTTTTGAGAAAAAGTATGGTGACCGGAGAGGCATTGAAGATATTATTGTAAACAAGAGGAGATTCCAGTATGAAGAAGAAGTGAAGGTAACTGTGTTTTTTAAATGTCCTTCAACTAAAAGCTTTCACTGCAATTACAAAGTGAATAATCATGTTAAAAAATATATATTTTTTATTTATTTTTATGGGGGGACAGGTTATTTAGCATCATATTGTTGCCTAAAAATGTATTTAACCTGTTGTGAAACACACACATCATTAGGTTCATATTGGCTCCAGTACAGATTAAGGTCTCAAACTATTATTAATTTGTAGTAATTTTCTAGCTGGTGTATCCATCATTGTATTTCAGGCCAATCCCCATAACTACGATGCCTGGTTTGATTACTTGCGGTTGGTGGAAAGTGATGCAGATCCAGATACAGTCAGGGAAGTCTATGAACGTGCGATTGCTAATGTCCCTCCTACAAAAGAGAAGAGACACTGGAAAAGATATATTTATCTGTGGATCAACTACGGCTTGTATGAAGAGCTAGAGACAAAGGTACAAAAGCTTTACCAAGCTAATTGTTTGCTACAATTAACATATCTTGCATATGCTTATTTATTTATTTTTGAGCACTAAATACCTTTGCAGCCTCTTAAATGCAGATTGGTGTGTTGACCGTGAAAGTCCGTTTTTTTAGTTGCATGTCATTTTATATGTAATTTTTTTTTTTTTTCCCTTCTCACTTCTAAAGCATGCTTATTCCGTTACTTAAATCTAGACTGATAAAGTCTTGGGAAATCCTATTTTGAGAACCTTTCTTGTTTGATCTTACCTTTAAGCTGTTAACTCTGAATGCCCACATTTTCAACCGTGTGTTTTTTTTTGTTTTGTTTTGTTTTTTTCTTCTATCTGTAAGAAATATAATGCTTACTAAAAACCTTTTTTGCAGGATCCAGAGAGAACCAGACAAGTGTACCAAGCCTGCCTAGATTTAATACCTCATAAAAAGGTAAGATTTTTAGAAAATCCTTGGGATAATTACTAAGGAGTACCTCTGTCTATTTAACTTCATGTGGCATTAAAAAGAAAACTCAAATTGGAGAATAATCTGACTACTGGTAATCTCCTTGAATTGATTCAATTGTATTAGTTGACACATTTTTGTTAATGCAAAATAGTTGGTTTATCATTCCTGTATGTTAAAATGACCATTCTGCTCTTGTCACGTCTGTTTCATTTTGTTTTTTTATCTTTATATTTTTTTTTTTTTAGTTTACATTTGCGAAAATCTGGCTGATGTATTCGCAGTTTGAAATCCGGCAAAAAAATCTCCATTTGGCCCGAAGAGCTCTGGTATGTACCAATCCCATAAAGAAAGGAGACATGTTTTAGCTTGTAAGAACTGCAAAGCTTTTATATAGATTAATATATACCTTGTGGTATTAGTTTTATGTACATTAACCGGCATTTACTTTTTAATTAAAAAATTAGGGTGTGTTTAAAAAGGTAGTACGTCTCAAACACGCTGCAGGAAACCATTATATCTTGGGATTCTGCTAATTTGTTTTCCTCTCATTTTTTAGGAGGGTGCGTTGTATGCCATTTGCCGTGAAAATGTTCAGACCAGCTGATGTCAAATTTGCTGGTCAAGTTTTAAATGGTCACACAAAGCTGTTTGAATAAATTTATATGTAAAAAAAAAACTCTGCTTTGAAGGTCCCTCGTTTGGTGCAAATTCCCAGGAACTGCAACTTCTGCAAAAATGGTGGCAGTGATCACTGAGCCAATTCTGGTTCTCCTGTAGCTTTTAATGTAAATCAGTATCCACAAACACCGGATGTGCAACAAGGGAGTATGTTTCAGCTGCCACCATTCTGTTAAACTGTACAATGCTCAGTAGACCAGGCCTCAGTTCATTTTATTTATGAAAATCCTGAATAATGCTATTTATCAACCTTAACACTGGGTACAATAACAACTTCATCCTAATTAAGTTGTCTATACAAGGTATATATTAATCTACATAAAAGCCTCTTGTTGGTGCCTGGAGATTCTGTATTTCCTTAAAGGGACCCTAAATGCACAAAGACCTCTTGAAATGGTCTAGGTGTAGTGTTCCTATCTGTTTACTTCTGCAATGTTTAACATTGCCATTCTTTCGCCATTGTTTAACACGCATCTTGTAGGTATATTGCTGACAGGCACAAGAGGAGCTTCTGCTATAAAAGAGTTAAACTTCATTATAGATCAATTGCATTGGCTGAGATCGTCCACATTGATGATCCCAAAAAAGAGGCAGCTAGGAGAGCAGTGCGTCACAGGCTGAAAATGTAAAGAAATGCTCACATTTTAAACCCTACACAGGGGGGCTGGCACCTAGATAACTAGCAGGACACTATAACATCAGGAATACATGTCTGGACCACTTTAGGTTTGAACTCCAAAGTGGTCTAGATGATGCCTGTGTCTCTCCCTCTAAGGCTGTGACAGCATTAGCTGATGCGCTTAGCCTGTCACTGGCTGCACATTGTCTGGTTTTACCTGAAGTTAAATATTCCCTAAAAATGTAATTATTCTAGTCTCCCATAGTATCATAAAGTATCCTCATGTTGTTTTTGTTTTTTTCTTCAACATAGGGCACATCTATTGGTAAATGCCCAAAGATCAAGCTGTTTAAGGGTTACATAGAATTGGAGCTGCAACTGCGAGAATTTGATCGTTGCCGAAAACTTTATGAAAAATTCCTGGAATTTGCACCAGAGAACTGCACAACGTGGATTAAGTTTGCGGAGTTGGAGACTATATTGGGGGATGTTGAGCGGGCTCGTGCAGTGTACGAATTGGCTATTGGACAGCCACGACTAGACATGCCGGAAGTAAGTATTGCACTGGGAAAAGCAAGATACTTGAGCTGTTTGTTTCAATATTCTCTTGCACCTTGTTTTGGTTTTTTCCTCCTCCCTAAAATGAAAGGGTAATCCAGCGAGAGCTGGCCTGCATTTTGGATCTGTACTGATCTTTTGGGTGGGATCAGTCTAATATTCAAATATTGTTGGTTTTTCTTTGTAATCCTACAAGATAAGCTAAAACTTGCTTGAGATGTCAGCTGGGACCTACTGAAATACTGTTATTCATACTCATTACGCATTATATGTTTGCGTTAGATCCATGTCAACTCTTACCAATCTCAAAATGTTTATTTTCAATTTTAAAATCGTACAAAGGTGATAAAGTATAAATTCATTATGTGTGATTGTTTCACTCGCTACAGATAGCTCATAGATGGTTTAGATATTCTTTTTGGGGTTTTTAAAGCAATGCTCGAGGAACATGTAAGAATACACAACTGCAATACTGAAACCACAAACCAATGAATGTGCCAATTCACAAACCGTAAAAACTAATATACAACTAAAGTAATTTAAATGTGCTCACTGACATTTTTCTATGCAAGACTATATTTTGTCTATAGATAACATAACTGCATCCAAGATAAATGAGTCTGTCATGGAAACTGACCCTTTAAAACTAACTTAAGACTATGAAATGTTTTGTCAATGAAGTTAGATTCAAGCCCTTACGAAAACCCTAGGCTGTGTTTGAAAAGGAATCTATCAGGCACTTGCCTTCAGCTTATTGAAGTGGACTGGGTGCAGTGTCCCTGTCCCCCCTTAGTCCTGCAATGTAAAACATTGCATTCTTATAAAAAACTGCAACATTTATATTGCAGTACCAAGGCTGCCTCTAGTGGCTGTCTACCAGACAGCCACTAGAGGCGCTTCAGGGTTTTTACTTGACTTGAGGTTGCTGGACATCTTTGTGCTCTGCATGAGGACATTGAGTCTGTAAAATCCCCATTGAAAAGCATTAATTTAGTGCTTTCTTTTGGTGAGGGCCTAGTGTGTTCTCAGTGCTCACTATACATGCGCAATAAGTCCCCCGTCGGAGGATTCAGGGTGCCAACCAAGTGCTGAAATCGGGTAAGTAAATGGGGGTGGCGTGATGGAGGCAGGGACCAGAGAGCACATTAGTGTTAGGCATACAACTTTGTACTCCAACACTTTAGAATCCCTTTAAATCCAGCACTGCATTGTCTTTACAGAGGTTGGTGTTGCACTTCTGTAACACTGACCCCTGGTCTGCCCTTGCTTTTCCCGTAGTCTTCATCTATCCTGCTTGGTGATGCCATATCAATGCGCATGCACTGTGGATGGTATGCTTGGGAGATCAGAAAAACTGCCTGTGGTAGGTCTCTCCTGTTCTCCCTGCAAGTAAAATCTTCAGCATAGTTATGACATGTGACCTTGAAGGGCTGTAGGCTTGTTTGCATTAATGGTTTCCAATTTCTCCTGATTCCTATATTTAGGTTCTTTGGAAATCCTATATTGACTTTGAAATTGAACAAGAAGAATATGATAAAACTAGAACTCTTTACAGGAGGCTTCTACAGAGAACACAGCATGTTAAGGTACTTGTTTATTACAGTTGGCTATCATGTTTTATTTGTACAGGTTATTTTAAGAGTCACAAACACTGAAATTCTGGCCATTTATTTACTATGACGAAATAGCGGTCGCTGGATGTCCTCTTCTGTTACTGGACCAAAAGTTTAACATCCAGGAAGCTCCTCCAGTGGCTGTTTTGGTAGGCAGCCTTGGTGCTGTAATGTTTTATTTTGCAGCACAAAGCACAATTAGGGACACTGCACCCAAACCACTTCAATGAGCTCAAGTGGTCTGGGTGCCTATAGTGTCCCTTTAAAAAAAAACTACATTTTAGCTTCTTTAAGATCTTGCGTACAGTATGAATATTGGACCTACTGAAAATCTTACTTGGCTATACCGAGAATTTGTCTCAGAGGAAGGCTTCACAGCTGCTACGTTGGGGGTCTCTTTTTATGTGCAAAACTGTGGTGTGCCTTGGGATAATTTCTTAATTTTCTCAATCTAAACATTTTCGCACTGTCTGAGAGTAATTTTTAAGTTTCCATATTCTTTTTGTATTTGCTCCTGGTAATTTAGATTGGTTTAGTGGTGCTTGTAGAATAATTTTTTTCAAATAGTGTCATAGATCCTTAAGTTTTGAGGTCAGAATTTAGATTGGGCAGCTGTAGTGATATCAATGTTTTTGTTCTAAATTTCCTTTCCTAATTTTTTTTCTTGTATTTTGGTCCATACATTTACCTGTAATTTGTGCTAGATGCCCCAACCCTGCTGAAACATATTCATACAGCATGAGTCTTCCACCATTATTATTCTTCTGTAGGAAGAGCAATTGTTGAAGTATAGTGTGTGGGGTTTTTTTTTTTTTTTTTTTGTGCCACCAATTGCGCTGGAGTGCATTATGGCGAAAAATCTCTTGGCCTAGCATACCCAAGTCCCTTTCTCCCGTTTACCATGTTGGCTAAATCAGTCTTTTGCTAAATCTTTATTTTTGATGTTGAATAATTCATAACAGTGAAAAATACTTAAGTAAATGAAAAGAATATTGTATGTAAATGTTTTGCTCCTTTGTAAATATTTGATTCAGCTGAAGTATGACACTGTGCAAAAGTACAGTATATCCACTGGCTTTCTGTAAATTGGGACAACTGGTCAATTTGGTTCTGCTTAGGCATTTGTATCTATTACAAAACTTTACAGAAATCTGCTTTTATGATTGGGAAAACAATACTGTTTTTGAAGTCCTTTTTTTTTTTAAATTCTGGATAATTTATATAGCTCTTTTGTTTTCTCCAGGTCTGGATCAGTTTTGCACAGTTTGAGTTGACTACTGGCAGTGATGATGTAATAGAGAACTGTAGACTGATATATGAAGAAGCAAATAAGTCTCTTCGGAACTGTGAGGAGAAGGAGGAAAGGCTGATGTTGCTTGAGTCATGGAGGCATTATGAAGAAGATTGTGGGACCGACACCACCAGAGACAGAGTAGCTAAACTTATGCCAGAGAAAGTCAAGAAAAGAAGAAAGCTTCAAGCAGAGGATGGGGTAAGAATAGTTCATCTCCCCTTTTTTTTTAAAATTTTTAATTTTTTTAAATTCTGATTTTCAAACCCTTAAAGTTTGGTATTATACACTGTAAACCTGACTGACAATTTTATTCTGTGATGGAGGCAGTTCAATCCCCAACAATGTAATGGCTTGAAGGGACACTATATAGTAACCAGAACAACTACAACTTATTGCATTTGTTCTGGTGAGTATAATCATTCCCTTCAGGCTTTTTCAGAGAAAATGCAGTTGTTTACATTACAGCCTTGGGATACCTCCACTGGCCACTCCTCAGAAGGCTACCTGGGGCAGTGCTGCCATTCAGTGTCTCCTCCCTCTGCATGCAAACACTGAACTTTCCTCATAGAGATGCATTGGTTCAATGCATCTCTGTGAGATGCTGATTGGCCAGGGCTGTGTTTGACTTTTGCTGGCTCTGCACCTGATCTGCCTCCTTGACCGTCTCAGCCAATCCTATGGGGAACGCATTGTGATTGGATCACAGAATCACTTCTGATGTAAGCTGTAAGCAGGCAGGTCAAAGGAAGCATCTGCAGACTTGAATACAAGTTCGATTTTTATTATATTTATGGAGGGCTAGATGGTGGTTTTAACATTATAGGTCCAGGAATACATGTTGGTGTTCCTCTTTAAAAGGAAATGTAAATGCTTAAAAGTAACATTTTTATCAGCCAACCTCCCACAGAGGGGCCTCTACAACTACTAGAACAGGATATGCTCATTGGCCAGTCACACACTATGCAAGTCCCCATATTTGCACTTTTTATTCATTTTTATGATGTAGCTTAAAGCTTTGAATTAAATCAAAATAAGCAAAGCAGACACTTCCACAATATAAGAAGCTGAAAACGCATGCGTGTGTGTGGTTATTTCAGCATTTAACTTTTTTTTAATACATAACTTTATTTTTTTATTTTTTATTATAAATATAATCCGTTGAGGTAGCTTGAAAAAGTGTAAACTAGTGGCTCCCAAAATTTTTAGGTTCAAGGCACCCTTAATTCAATATTTTCTTAAAATAAGTTCGTGTGTGTGTGTTCCCTCCCTCGCAGAAATGCTTGCAGTAACCAGACCCTAATCTTGGGAGGGGCACTTGTAGATTATTTAAAGAAACAATGCAGGCACCATAACCACTACAGCACTGTTTGACAACTTACCTGGGATCTGCGGGATAGGGGCTGTAGTAGGGGATAGGGGCTGGTGGGGGACAGTGTGTGGGCGGGCAATGCTAGGAGCTCGTGAAAGGAGAACCCGGCAGAGCTGCAGTTTAGAGCTCCCCCGGTCCTCTCTCTCCTTCCCCTGCCGGCTATAGCATTAGTGCTAGCAGGACGGAGAGATCTCTGATCTTCCCTCTGGTCCTGCAGAGCCGGCAGGGGAGAGGGAGACACAGTTCCTGGTGCTTTGATCAGATCATTATGGCACCGGTAAAATATCTTGCGGTGCCCGTCACAGTGCCCTAGCACACAGTTTGGAAACCGCTGGTCTAAACCACTGAAAAGTAGGGCCTAGATATCACTGAGACACTGTAGCAGTCAATTTTGACCTTCATAGTGATATACAGCTTTTAAAAGGATCTCTCCTGCTATATTTTGACCTCAACACAAGGCCTTCTTTTTTCAAAATGTGTGCAAGGACCATGGGTTATATTAATGCTTGCAGTGTCCTTTTTACACTAGATAAATGTTTGATAAGCACAGTGTAAATATATTCTATTCTCTAGGAAGTGCAGCAGTATCCTCTCTGTGGACAGATGCGCATTAAATGCATGTGTTCTTTCTATAGCTGGGAAACTGACAAAACTTGGGCAAGTTTTAGAAATGGCATATTTTCAAATATTCACAACCAGTTCACAACCAACATAGTTAACTAAAATAAGCAGTACAGTAATTTTGTAGTCACAATGTTTTTTGTTTGTGAAAAAACACTTTACATAAATGGTTGGAGTGCATAGCTGCCAGACGTGCTAGCCCACTTCCAGCACCTTCATTAACCTGGGCTGGCTAATGAAATGTAGGCATTTTGGGCGTCTGTCGTGCGTAGAATGCTGGTTTTGTATTTTTTATTTTTTTATAAATACTGCATTCAGTACATTTTTAATCCAATGTATATTTGTAAGCTTGCTGTATCATTGGCATACAATATTGACTTTTTTTTTTCTTCTTTCTTTAAGTCCGATGCTGGTTGGGAGGAATATTATGATTACATATTTCCTGAGGATGCTGCCAATCAGCCAAATCTTAAACTGCTTGCTATGGCCAAACTCTGGAAGAAACATCAAAAACCGGAGAACAGCTCGGAGGAGCAGGATTCTGACAAAGATATTGACGAGGGTTCTTCCTGACATGGATTGTTTTCTTATCTGTAATGTTTTTACTTGTATATAATGCCATTTTTGTTATTCTACGATGCAACAACCCAACTTTTGTGAAAATAAAGCTTGTTACGATAACCTACTGTTTTTAATCAGCAAAGCTTCTGGGCTTGAATGTGATGAAGATTTCTGGTAGGGGTTAACAAAATAAAGGCTTAAAGAGCAAAGATTTGAGTGATGTTCATATTTCTAATGGTGGATGGAAGTTGTTGATGGCGATTTGTAGTAAAATGAGAAGTATGTTGGAAAAGACCATGTAGGCTAAAAGAGGCGAGAAGGGAGGGGAACACATGGATGCAAATAGAGAGAGGACATGAGAATCACATGCCAAATTTTCCCAAATAGTTAAAACGGTCCTGATAAATGACTCATTTCAAATGGCACTCTTACCTGATATGAGGCTAAAGCTTATAAAACGAGGCATGGCTTAAACATTAGTAAAGGAAGGATTAAATAAATAACTGCATTAATGCTAAATGCGAGGGTGGGAAAGGCAATAGTAGGTTTTAAAAAGTATTCAAGTACTTTTAAGAGTATAAAGAATACTATAGGAAGAGGTGGTTTGAATAAAACTTTGTGGAAGAGAGACAAAGAAACTAAAATCGATTGTGGATTATTTTGGTGAGAGGTTACTGACTACAGTTGTGCTTTTATCGGTTATTTTGTGAGCAATGAACTTTTGTATCTCACTATTAATTATTTTATTTTTTTTATTTTTGTATTGGACTCTTCCGAAAGCTTGTCACCCGAAAGTCTTAGTCCAATAAACATGTTGCAGATGTAAAATAAGATTTTAAATTAGTATCTTGCATCGTTGGGGTAATACTGCTAAAATTTCAAGTCCAATTCCATATACTGATGAAATGGTGTCTGTCATTTCTAGAACAAATGTAAACTCTTTCTATAGTCCCTTTAACACCCTAGCTGTACATGCAATAAACAGTTTGGGTATGCCAGGACTTCTGATTTAATGAGAAGGAAAGATTCTAATAGAACACAGTTATGGAGATTGCAGCTCTTCGTACTAGATTTTATAATGAAACATCTTGGCTGGAATGCAGACATAGATGAGGAGAGCCTTCAAGTAGTTTTAGAGGTTGATTATGAACATTTAAGAAAGTCCTTCAAAAACATAATCCTTAACAGTAACTGAGATATATTGGTTTCTTTGGTTACATAGAAATCGCATTGCTGCACCTAATGCTGGGAAATTGTCAATCTGCTATTGGAATTTTCTGTTCATAGAAAATGTACTCTAATCACTTTAAATGTTTTTCTCCAGGGGAGTTGGGAGGGGGATGCTCGCTGGGCTAGAGGCCCCCAATGTGCCTCCGAAAAGCACCCTGTCTAAAATATGTCCTCTATCGGAGACTATCATCCTTGCATTGACTACCATTCTACCAAGTCATTTAGAGACCAGGAAACTTAATCTCTCTCCTCCCCCACTCCTGTTTTGTTAGACTGTGGTTGACCACCTCCTGCCATATGCACACCTCACTATCCAAGTTATCTGTATTCCTTATATTATCTATAACTCCTGATATGCATGTGCACATATTGCTCACCCACATGTTTCTAAATTTTTGTACACTGTCACCACTAAAAGTGGAGATTAATACATGTAATCACTTTTCTTTATATGTTCTATCTTTTATCCTTTTTCACAATTAAAAAACAAAAAAAAAAACAAAGAATGGTGAAATAAAAAAATGACCATTACTATTAGCCCCACGTTTGGCCAAGGACTCTGTCTAAATGCAAATAGAACACTGCAGAAATTCTGCTCTGAAGTTCTGGCTTATGACGTGCCGGAACTTCAGTGATTACATAGTATGGCAGCGGGCACAGCAAATGAGAATCCCTGTCACACCTCCCTCAAGATCAATATGGCTAAGTGTCTGTTCAGCAAGATCCTGCAAGATAAGTATGCTGTATAGGGATTTCACTGGGACATACTACTTTAAGGTTTTCTAGAGAGTCACATCAGGGACGGGTAGTATGAGATTTTTGGGGCACAGAATTGTGGGGTTGGAGACACGCATCACACACCACAGGGGGGCGTATTGGAGAGAGGAGAAAACACAAGTGCCCTGTGTGTATACGTTTGTCTGTATGTTAGTAACTCTAAGTCAAGGGATGGAATTGGGGGAGAGGCAAGGGGTGTGGAGCGCTAGGAAGTGGTCACCAAATTATACATTGTGCTCAATCCAATATTTCTGACTCTAGCAACAGCAATCATAAGGTAACCAAAGCCGAGTTATTCATTAAAGTGAGAATTCCAAGTTTTCGGGTAGAAGTAGCTGACTTAGAATTTTTCCAATTAAGCTATTTTGACCTTAAATTTGGTATTCACTTTGAATAACACTGTGTAAGTTTCACTAAAAAGAAAGGGAAACCAAGCAGATGTTTGCTCTATTTCACAGACTCTGGAATAGCTGGGAAAAGACAACCTCTTACAGTCAAGGTGCTGTGGAACCAAACTTCAATTAAAATTAATTTATTTCAAATAATATTGTAATTAAAAATTATGGCAGTGAAACATGTATTAGGGGAAAGTAATGCTGCCTCAGGGTTCTAGAGGCAATAATAAAACACTTTATGTCTCCAAAACCAGCGGTGAAACTATCCCAACTGCACCTCAGGGAAGCCACCCTCCTTCCTCCAATAGGTAGGGAACAAGAGGGTTTGCCAAAAATTTTTTACATTTTGTATGTGTATCTTTTGTATGTCTGAGTGTATGTGTATCTGAATATGTATCTGTGTGTTAGTGTGTGTGCATCTGCATGTGTGTAATTATTGTGCATTGCGTGTGTGTTAGTGTGTGTGTGTATGTTGTTTGAATGGATGTCAGTGTGTGAATCTGTGTATCATTTACTAAACCTTTACAACAGTACATAAAAACACAGAACACCACACACAAATTCGCCCCTACATTTATACACACACTCACTCAATACAAACACATGCTTACATTCAAACACAGTAACACACAATCAACTGCTCTGTGCAAAATATAACCCTGCAAGGATGGGCAAATGGTAGATCCCAAGCTGGGGCTAAAAAATGCTTGCACCATGGCCCTGTCTTCGTTAATTCTGCCACTGTTTAAGACTATTATTTTTCCATAGTTTGTGGTTATCTCTCAAATCAGCTTTTCAACATACCAAGGTACATACTAGGAAAGTTAATTATGGAATGTGTTCAATCTTGACGAGGTACCATATAGAAGTGGTATCAGAGAAGAATATATTCCACTAATCACAAAATGCAAATTTGGTTATTTTAATTGATTCTGCACTTTTGTTTGGGTGTAGTTGGTTGTCCTTTGAAGTCAGCCAAAGCTTCATATAATATGCATGGTTCAGACATTCACAAACAACCAAATCTTTGTTTGGTTTTTCCAATTCCCTGATACAGACCAGGGGAATCACAACTAAAACTGTAAGCTCCTCAATACTTAGTCAAATTAATGCTACCCCAAAAACTAGTTTTCCTGACATTATGTAGTCCTTAGGTCACTCCCACCCCCATGGCCCCCCTCCTTCTGGGCTGAAGGGGTTAAAACCACTTCAACCACTTACCTTTCTCCAGCGCCGGGCTCCCTCGGCACTGGGGAACTCTCCTCCCCCTGCCAACGTCAGCGCCAAATGCGCATGCGCAGCAAGAGCCATGCGCGCATTCAAACCACCCATAGGAAAGCATTACTCAATGCTTTCCTATAGACGTCAGCATCTTCTCACTGTGATTTTCAAAGTGAGAATCGCAGAAGCGCCTCTTGCGGCTGTCCATGAGATAACCACTAGAGGTTGGATTAACCCTCAGTGAAACATAGTCGTTTCTCTGAAAAGGCTATGTTTTCAGCTACAGAGTTAAAGCTAGAGGGAACTGGCACCCAGACCACTTCATTGAGCTGAAGTGGTCTGGGTGCCTATAGTGGTCCTTTAACGTAGCAATGTTAAAGTGAACCTGTAGTCCATTTTAAAACTATTCGTAAATAAAAGTAATACATGAACACTTACCAAAAATGTATGTTTCTTGCCTAATGTTCTAATGGAACTTCATCTGATTTTCAAGGATACTCACCACCTCTCTAATAAGTCTACCTTGTTAGCATGACATCATTGCCAGTTCTTCAATCAGGATGATGGTGGTGATACAATCAGGGAAGACGTGCACGGAACAAATGAGTGGTCCTGTTGCTGAAACTGAGGCATCAGCTATGTGGTAGGCTGGCTAAAAAGCATGTAGACATCTGCAATGCATAAATGCAGATAGTCTGTCTACCAGGGAGGGATTAAACATTAGAAAATCTATACATTTGTTAGCAAAATGTATAGATGAAAATAGCAATAGAATCTACTGCTGCAATTAATAAATTACACTACAGATATCTTTGAACACATCTTTAGTGGCCGTCTTCCTGACAGTCATTAGAGGCGCTTCTTCTACAGCCGCGGATTGAAAATCGGTCATGTGACCAAATGCAGCTTCTTAGGAAAGCATGAAATTCAGTGCCTTCCTATGAAGAAACTTGGCTGCACATGTGCATCAGTCCCCACTGCTTCTCTGTAAGGAGAATTAGATTGGACCATCCATCGGCTTGAAAGCTGAAAGACATCGCATGCAGCAGCACCGAGATAGTCTCAGTGCTGGAGAAAAGGTAAGTAAAAAGTTAGTTTTTACTGCAAACGAGCTAAAACTAATCTGGCACCGCAACGCTTTCGAATTAAGAAAAACAGGTTTGTATTGCTAGAGCTATACTGTTCCTTTAAGCTTCTTTAAAATAAGTATCACAGCAGCAATGAGATCCATTTTAAAGTAGCAGGGATCAACTTGGTTCTAAATGAAAACTGTGAACATTTTATCAACTGAATGCAGGAGAATTAAAGGAACACTATAGTCACCTAAATTACTTTAGCTAAATAAAGCAGTTTTAGTGTATAGATCATTCCCCTGCAATTTAACTGCTCAATTCACTGTCATTTAGGAGTTAAATCACTTTGTTTCTGTATATGCAGCCCTAGCCACACCCCCCCTGGCTATGATTGGCCGAGCTTGCATAAAAAAAAACTGGTTTCACTTTCAAACAGATGTAATTTACCTTAAATAACTGTATCTCAATCTCTAAATTGAACTTTAATCACATACAGGAGGCTCTTGCAGGGTCTAGCAAGCTATTAACATAGCAGGAGATA